GGCCAGGAGACCGGGATTTGAACCCGTGGTCGCAGCAGTGAAAGTCCTGCACGTGTGCTAATAGAATAGAGTCACTGGAATATTAAAAACTTTGCACTCGTGTGAGAAACTTTTGACATTTTCTGTTAGATTCATTTTTTAAAAAGTCTTTGACATTTCCTGTTTAACAGATTTTAAATGTTTTTCTTGGTATAATGGCAAATATCAATCATCTCACTTTATACAAAGCTGACATATAATTGTAACAGTAAGGTGAATAATACCTAAAGATTCCCCCAGGAGATCTGTCCTGTTGCTGTTTGGCATTTTCCTGTCCAATAACATGTTCAGGAATTTTATTAAATACCAAGTGGTAGGTTTTTTTACTGATCGCTTGTGGAAATGATGCAGAACTTAAAGGCCCCAGAGAAAAAGTACCATACAAGAGAAAAGCAGCCTGGGGTTAATTGGGAAGAGTGTGGCCAACAGGTCAAAGGAGGTGATACTCCCCCTCTACTCGGCCACATCTGGAATGCTGTGTCCAGTTCTGGGCTCCTCAGTACAAGAAAGACAAGGAGCTTCTGGAGAGGGTCCAGGGGAGGCCACGAAGATGATGAGGGGTCTGGAACATCTCTCCTATGAGGAAAGACTGTGGGAGCTGGGCCTGTTTAGTCTGGAGAAGAGAAGACTGAGAGGGGATCTCCCTAATGCATATAAATATCTCAAAGGGGTGCCAGGAGGATGGTGCCAGACTCTTTTCAGTGGTGCCCAGGGACAGGACAAGGAGAAATGGCTGTAAACTAAAACACAAGAAGTTTCACCTCAACATGAGGAAGAGCTCCTTTCCACTGAGGGTGGCAGAGCACTGGAACAGGCTGCCCAGGGAGGTCATGGAGTCTCCCTCTCCAGAGACATTCAAAACCCACGTGGTCATATTCCTGTGTCACCTGCCCCTGGTGATCCTGCCTTGGCAGGGGCTTGATAAGCTCCAGAGGTCCCTTCTGACCCTAAGAATTCTCTGATTCTGTGAGTCTTAGCATGAAAATGCTGAATTGTATTTCCTTAAACCATATAGCAGGCCAAACTCTCGCTTGTAAATCGCTGTTGCTGTGTTTGGTGTGGAGCTTTGCCCACGTGCCTGAACTAAGGATCTGTTTCAATGGATTTTAATCCCTCCTGAGAATCTGGCTCCACTTAATAGGAAAACAACTTCCCTTTTTTCTTTTGCTTAACAGGTAAAGATCAGAGTTGATGGAACATTTTCCACCTCAGAGCAGGACCTGCTTAATTTTTTATACAGCTTTTTACAAAATGGGCACAGATCCACCAGGTTTTTCACCTAATCTTGTTCTCAGGTATTAGTTAGTAATATGCTTTCTCAGAACTAAGTCCTTTAAACTCACAACAAAATCCTTGAAACTCACAATATACCTCTCACTTATCTGCTTATATGATTCAGAAATGGTGAAGTTCTTTCTTTTGAAGGTGGGTATTGTACAATCATCCTGTGTGCTTATCTTCTGAGCATCTGCTTGGAAAATAAAACAACGTGCCATTTTGACATCCAAGAAAGTGCTATAAAAAGGCTGTTGCTATGTTTAAATGCCTACACTCAGTTGCTATAGCAATAAAAATATCAAAAATGATGTACAAATTGCCACAGTGCATTACCAGCCCTTTCCTGGACAGAGAGATTGTGGGACTGGGAATGTGACAGAGGTGCTCAGTGTATTAGAGGGCAGAGTTGCCCCATAGTTCCAGGTGCCCTACACTGTCATATGTGAGCAAATGTAGCCTAATAGTATAAATCCCAAAGTAGCTGTGTCAAACGGGACAGTTGGATCCCTGCTTAACTCAGTTGCTTCTTCATGACTTGTGTGACAGAGTTCAATATTTTGACCAAGTTCCCATTTCTCTGCAAGACAAGCTGCTGAAAATGTTGACCTTTCTCTAAATTCCTTCAGTCCTATGATATCATGTGAAAATCAGAATACAGAGTGCACCTCCCCGTAACCTTACAATGGTCAGTGTGAAAAGCCCTTGTTCCTGAGGCAGTTATGGGAACCCTGCTATCAAAAAGAAAAGAAATTATATAGTAGCTAATGGAATCCTTAGCATCTCTCTGGGACTCAAAGCCTTGAACATTCAGTTGCTTCTTGAAGAGAGCAGGAAATTCAACTTCCTTCACAAAGCATTTTCAATAGAGGAGGACATGTTATTCTGGCAGCTGCAAGTTCAGTTATGGAATGGTTTCTTCAGACATTTCTATACCTTGTTCTCTCTTCTACTGAGTAATGTTGGGGAAAAGACTTGGAAAAATTGTAATCTTGTTTGAAAGCAATAGAACTGTTTGGTTCACTCTATTCCAATTTGCTTGAAGAATCCTCGAAATTGGCTCAAACTGCAGAACAGTGTGTTGGTCAGTTTGATTATGGTGATCCACAACATTCCCATAGTTATTTAAAGTGTTTTCCTTAACATATGCTTTGAAGTCCAGTTGAGAGGTCTGATAGCAAGAATGTAGCAGTGGTAGAAATACATATTTTTAATGTTTGTTTCATTTGTTATCTATTGATTAATGTGCTTGTTCAAGGGTGTTTATGCTAGTAAACATATAAAGTGATTCTTAGAGACGCTATAGGTTGAGGGTACCCAAATTCTCCAGTACTTCTAAGTACATTTGGCCTGTTTTATTTTTGTAAAAAGTCTGAATAAACTGCTACCATGTACTTGCATTATAGGTTTACAAGGTTATATGGATAGTTGCACCCCTCTCATTTCCACTAGCTTGTATTTGCAGTCTCATTACAGGTTTTTTTTTTATTGATTTTTGACCATCTTTGGGATTTAATTGTAGTATTTTGATTTTGGTTTTAACTGTTAAGAAATGGGACATTTTGTAGCTTTACAACTGCACAAACTTCCAGGAGTGTGGAAGGATGTGTCTTTCTCAACCTCTATGGGGATTCTTGGTTTACTTTCCTTCTCAGCTGTTCTGCATGGAGAACTGGACAATCACCTTTCAAAAGGGTTTATTCTTAAACAAAAATGTCAACAGCACTGATTGTGGGTTTGGTTTGTTGGTTGTTGGGGGTTTTTTTAACAGATTTAATAGGAGAGTCTGAACGTTGGATCCATAAATATTTATTGATACTTGTTTATTAAACTGTTCTTAAAATTCCCGAAGTTATCTTTTTATGTCAAGATTGGGAGATGCTTCTGTGGCAAATTATAATGTGTCTGTAAAATCAGCACATCTGTGCTTCATTTACAATATGGTAGCTTTTACTGTTGAGAATATGTGGTTATATGAATTACCCAGTTGGGGAGAGGGAGAAGACAACAGAGGAGGAGATGTGTGAAACTTAGAAACTGTAGCTTTTATTTTTCGTGAAACTGCCAAATACTTCCAACACAGAAACCTGATTTTCCCTAGATCTGTGTCTATAGCACCCTCACCACGACTGATGACATCAGTTTATTTTGTATTTAAAAGCTATTCTATGTAGTCTCTATTTTGGACACTTTATATCTGAACTTGCTTCTGCCATGGAAATGCAAATTGCTTGATACTGCCAGTCCCTGCAGCAGCTTTGGTTGGAACTGCTCACCAGCTTATTGCAGAGCAGGGGGAAAGAGGGAGAGCTGAACAGACAACAAGCTTTTTCCAAGGAAAGAAGTATTATATGGCTATCGGTTAGAGACACACTTCACATTATATATTGCCCACTAGGCCTCTTTGAGCGTTAGCTATGCATTTATTCTTTCCAAAAGCTATTTTTGGTATTGTTTTCCTTGGAATAGAAACTGTGCTGTTATTCTGGTGGTCAGCCAGCTATCCTTCCCCCTTCTTCCCTGCCCTCCCTTCATTCCCTCCGAGTACCCTTTGAACTTGTCCAACTTGTTGAATTTGTCAAGAGAGGACTGCAGAAGTATTACGTTCCTACAAGTGAAAATCAGTGGTGTGGTTAAGAGGAGAGACCAAATTAGAGCTGCTGAAGGGAAAGGCTCCACTGTGAGCTGAAATCACCATGGATCCTGTTTGCTCTGCCAGCTGGCAAGCGGGCACTTGTGAAGCTTAAAACCAGGCACAGAAAATGCTGTCCCTTGGCCCTCCAGATTGGCAAGAGACGGGGAGACAAGTGAGCTTGTTATGAGTGAGATAAGATACAAAATCATTAAAATACAATACCTGAAGAACAGGTTTTGATAGCTCAGCTGCTTAGAAACAACGATAGGGAGATATAGGTTACAAAACCGTCTTTTTTTTAGCACTGATATCCTAACTTTATTTTGGAAAATTTTTGTATATGTCTGTGAAACAGATCGTGAAAGCTACAGGCTGATAATTCTCCTGTGATTTCACACCAACTTCTAATAGTTGGTGGCAGCCCATATGTTTGTCTTCTCTCCAAAGCAGTGCAGAGCACTGCGAGATTGTAACACAGGCCCTCCTCTGTTTTGCAGATTTTTCCATTGAGGCTGCAATGCCTCAAAGGACAAGTTTTGAGGTTGCTGCAATCTTTGGGAACAGTCTATAGACTCTGCTCAGTCAGCTCTTCGGGCATGTCAGTCAGGTTCATGGGAACCTTATTAGTGGACAGGTTCTTCCCATGGCAAGTAAATGTCAGCCATCCGGGTAGGGGCAGCCATTCCAATTAGACTTTCCTTATGCAACAGATGTTTTGAATCTTAGCCAGGGAGAATAAAGTAATGCCCAGAGACACTGGCCCTTATCTGCTTTCTGGTCATTTGAAGAAGGCAGCTGAGGCTCTGTAAAAAATGGCAGGATGATATCTCATTTGCTCCTAAGCAAACTGACTGCATACTTTATTTTGGTTAGTCACTGATTAGTTGCTCTCTGATTATTTGAAAGAAATTAACCTGTGGTAACATCCTGTTTTCTTTCTTTGCTTGATCATCTGTTTGGGAGGAGTTGTTTTGCTTGAACAAACAAACGAAAAAACCCCACTCTTTTCTGTCTAGATAACATTAAATTTGTTTCTTATGCTTAAAAACAGGAAGCTCCTGCCTAAAGCATTCCAGCCATCAGACTGCTGAATATTCATCATCCTTTCCTCACCTGTGCTGCAGGGCACTATGCTGACCTTGAGAGTTCCTGACCTTAAATTCCTCTGATAGGTAAGAAGCTTTCTGGTTGCATTTTAAATTTTACTTCTGTTATTTGAAACAGTTGGGCTGGTTTCTCATTTGTGTCTCATCCAGTGCAGTTAATAGAGTCTTGTGCATACAAGACTTGCATAGGTCACTTGTTATTCTGACAATTTTTAACACATTTTAGTAATTTTTTTTGTTGATTAACATATATGTTGGCCATTTGCTAGTTTTTAAATTAAGTGCTGCTTCATAAACGAATCTTAATTAAATTGTTCCATAAAAATTAGTATAAAAGTTACAGATGAGAATATATGGAACACAAGATGAGACAGCTGCTATTAGATAACAAAATGAGTTTTACTTCTGTGAATGTAATAATCTGAACCCAGCCTGAAGCAGTAGAACACAATACCAATATGTGATAAACAGTTCAGGTGTGAGGAAGGAAGAGCCAGGGGCCAGTTTCACTCAGGTGCCTTGGGGAATGATCATTTCTTCTTCACAGTGGTGAATCTCTGCCCTGTTAGCAAGCGTTTATCTGAGCAAGCTGAAGAATTATGTTGACAGTCTTTTGAATGTTCTGAGATTCTTAAATAGGTCTTTTGAAAAACAAACAAAAATGCAAAAAAAAATCATCTTTCCAAAAAATATTTGTAGGGTACAGTGAAAGGTGTGTCATTATACAGTGAAAATATACAGGGAAGAAACACATTTCCTAAATAGTTCAGAAGTGAACTGTTTTATCCCTCACTTTCTTAAACACATAATTTTCTGCTACATTTGTGCTATGAAATAATGACTTCAGTGAAGTGAAATTTCAGTGTTCTGGTCAGTTATAAGGATTGACTAATGCACCAATGTAAAGCATATTCAGCATGTTTTCAATATTCAGACCTTCCTCAGGAGTATTAACCCGTAATAGTAAGGATTACAACTGGGGAGCTTTGTGAAACTCAATTGACAGAATAACTTCTGCCTGTTTCTGCAGAGTAAATTGATGGGAAAAGTTACGTGACTTACTAATGCCTGACTTATGGCTTGGTGTAGTTGAAGAAATACAAGGGAGAGTAGGAAGAGAGTATGAACCCAATAAGTGAATGAAATAAATTCCATTACTCCACTCTGCTTCAAAAATTGAGGAAGAAAATGAAACTGTCTTTTAATACCAAAAGCACTGATGTTGTGTATTTGGTTACTCTATCACTGAATATTCATGAAGCTCTGCAGTATGTTCAGCTAAGGTACTGGTTGCAATTAAAACAAGCTGTGTGATTGAAATTTGCTTTTTGCTTCAACTTAGTTCAAAAGCACACTCAACATCCATTTAGAATTGAAGTGCTCTTTTCTTTCGTGCATATGATAGAAAAGTGTGATGCCATTCACTCAGGTTGGCAAGTAAATTGTTATGGAAAATATTGTAGATGCCATGTTTGTTTATCTTCTAGATTCCACTGTTTCTTCAGAAAATAATTTCTGAGATAACTGGATAATGAAAATTTCAGAAAAAAACCCTCACAGCTGGCTCTGAGTTTAAATTTAAATATTTCCTTTAACAAAAACACAAAAAATAAATGCCATGTTCAGTTAGTAACTTTATCCTCTTTGTTCTGTAAAAATATACTTTTTTTTTCTCCAAGAAGGTTAAAAACATAACACTTGAAGGGAACACTTAGAAAATGAATTTGTAGGTTGTCTTTAAGCTCCATGGAAAATCAAATAAACATTGTTCTAACTAAGAAACATTAACAACAACAAAAAAGTTTGTGTTGGAAAAAAATCTTTACATGCCTTAGAAACGTGTCCAACACAATTTGACATCACCTTATTTGCAGAGATCAAGCAGCACCGTTGGTATTAATTTATCTTTAGATAGATTGGAACTAGTTTTTGCATAGATAAAGACATCATATATCTTGTTTGTCAAACTAGCTTGGCAATTGTTACTTGTCTGTAGTCAGTTATTAGGTACTATAAACAAGAAATAAAGGAATGATGCAAGAAAAAAGATTAGTGGAACATACACTAAATGTTTATAGAAAATCTAGTAACTCTAGTTCTAAGTTCTACCTTTCTTATTTCTTTCAATCTGTGAGGCAAAACAAAACTACTGGGAAGATGGTTTCCTAATGGCTGCAGCCTGGGATTTGGACTAATAAAGAGAATTAAGAGTTTAATTCTTAAGAATTTAATTTCTTGGCCAATATAATTAAGAATTAAGAGAAGGATAGAAGCTGTCTCTCCTTAGCTCACTGTTCCTTCCCCTGCCCCAGACAATTTATTTGGAAGGTAATCTGAAGTAAGTCACTTCAGGAAAGGGGGTTAAATAAAAAAGGTTCATTTTAGCCTAATGAAGTTTGTCTCCCTGGGCTTCCCTGTTGTCATCTGAGCAGAGAGAGGTTCCTCCAGAACGCAATTCAGAGAGCCTAAATTAAGTTCTTGATTTTAGGACAAGAACTTAAGTTGATTCAAAAACAAACTGACAAAAATACTCCACAAGCCAACCAACCAAGACTGGGAGAGACAAGTGGCCTTAGGCTAAAGTGAGTCTTCAGGAAAGGTCCCCTTTTTGCATATTCTCACACCTCTCTCTCTCTCTGTTGAAGGTTAGTGGTATTGTAATAACTCTTGTATTGAAGAAGATGTACAGAATTAAATGGGTCCAGGTTCTTTTTCTTCTCTTGATCCTTCCCCCACAGAGAACACAAAATTTGGTGGTGTTGTTCTGGAAGAAACATTTGAAAGAAATCTTAGATCAGTACTTAGCAACTGCATCCAGCCATATCCAAACTGATGAATCTTTGACCAAAACCAGCATTTTCAGTTGACAAGTGAAAGCAAATATCTGTGTCTGTAAGAAAAAAAGATCACTTCCTCAGCTTATCAAATTTTGATTTCTTTATATCAACTCTAATAACTATAGTAGGACTAATGCAATGCTGGTGTTCACTTTAACAGAATTGATAAAGAGAGACAGGTAAACTAGAGACAGTTTCATAACGGGTATCAAATCACAATTCCTAAGGCAAAAGTGCAAACATGAGCTTCAAGGGGAAGAGGGATACTGAGATGAGAATTGGATTTTTGGATGTTGGAAGAACTGTTTGTCATGTTCCTTCACTTGTCTGTGCTCCCAGGGTTTGATGTTAGTAAGCTTTCCTTGCTTACTCCTGTCCTGCAGGCCACACAACAGGAGGATGAGATATGATGCCCTAAGGTTAAGGGCATGATAGCATTTCATCAAAAGAGCACAGGGAAAACTTGCAGGTTTAGAGGCAAACAAAATGTACAGTTTGTCTCTTCAAAGCCTTTCTGCAGTGAGTGGAAGCTTTGATTGTGCTTTGTTGAAAAGAAAGGAGGTTGCTTACAAGGTTTGGTAGACAAGAATTAAATATAATTTTTCTGTTTATGATGTAAAAACTAGCAACAGTGCATGAAAAATTATATATATTATCTCTTTGTTTTTAAGGCAACCTTATTGTGGAATTTCTCTTTGAGATTCAATTTACTAGGTGTACAAGGAAAATAATACTTACAGTGTGAAATAACTTTTACAGTTGTGAAGTGGCTGGTATATAATAGTACTAATTTCTTTTTCAATATTTTAATGTCTCAGGGGGGAAGATCCTCCATTGTATCTTAGGCCAATCTTATATTTCTTTTTTACATTTCCTTGCCTACTAAACCCTGATGTTTATACAGAACTGAAGAAATATTAATTAGAGAAAGAGAAGAGAGACTTCCAACCTCTATCCCAGAAAGCTGGGGTTTATTCCTGCCGCTATAGGTTCTGTGAGAGGAAACCAGTGGGAATGCAAGATCACCTTAAGACATTCCCCCAGTTTGTACCATTTGAGCAGAGATTATTCCCGTGTTTTTTCTGACTCAGCCACACGTGAAGCATTTGGACCAGGAGCGTGGGCAGCACTATACAGCTGAATGTACGTGATAGGGAGAGGTTTCATCTCAATATAAAAAAGAAATGTTTTTACAGTGAGAGCAATCCCTCAGTGGAACAACCTCCCCAGGGCTGTGGTAGCGTCCCCATCGCTGGAGGTTTTCAAGTTACGGTTGGACAGGATGCTCAACAATCTCATCCAGGCTCCCTTTCCCACAAAGGATTGGGCCAGTTGTTCTTTAAAAGTCCCTTCCAAACTGGGCTGTTCTGTGATTCTGTGATAATAAGTAGGAAAAAAGGTGGAGAACAGCAATCAAGAGGTGTGTAAACCTTCATACCAGTCACAGCTTCTTGATCTTCTGGGGGAAGAAGGAGGGGAAGAAGATTCCATACTTTGCACCTGTCTTCTACTAAATAATGTTGCAAGCAAATGGAATTTTCTTCATAATTGGGAATGTCATTTAGTGTATGTGTGAGCAAATGTGTGCATGTATGTGCAAGACTGCAAAGTTTGAAAACTGCTGGCTCACTGTCTTTTCTTCTGTGAAATTCAGTTCCTTTTTGTTTGATGCATCTTAAAGAACTGAAAATACTTTCAGTGACTTGCCACCCAAATAACCTCTTAAAAACATCTGAAGTTTGTTCATATGCAAGAATCTAAAACGTGACAAAGCAGGGAGATGCCAGACATTCTTCAGATTGAGATATGTTTACTTCTTCAAGGAGGCTACTTAGGAATCCAGCACAGTACAGACCTATGGCAGCAGGATCTTAATCCTCGCTGTGGTCTTAGCATGTACTGTTTGTATTGACTAGAAAAATGTAAAAGTCTTTTTCTCTCATTAATTCTTTCTGTCTGTTCTGTCCATCCCTTCCTTCAGCATTGCTTACTCATGATGGGCAAAAAGGAAATTTCCCTTTGTTCACTTTCTCACAATCAGTCTCTTTCAGAAGTTGAACCTGCTTCCCACAGTGAACATTCAGCCTCCACAGCGAGGTCATGCAAACCATTCACCCGATCCCACAAGAGAATCATTTTCATGCTACTCCAAAAGCAGAAATGTCCTTTAATCCTCACTGTTTTCAACCATCTTCAGGTCAGGCCTTTCCAGGCCCAGAGGCTGTACAG